TAAAATATCAAATGTAACATCCTGATTTATATTATCTTGGCTTCTGAGACTGGTCTAGCCTCATCTCCCCATGGCCTGTTTATCCTGATGTAGAAAATTGCAGCTTTCCATTTTGAGTTACTCTCAAGTCTCTGTTGACTGCCTCCCATTCCTGATACTTCTATACCAGGGTTCCCCTATTCTAGCTATCTAGCTTGTGGCTCAGATAAATTCCTTCATGGTGTGGTAGAAAACAAGAGCTATCAAGCAGAAAACTCTAGGAAAATCTGATCATTCTCATTCCTAATTTTCATTTTTTAATGATGACATGAACTCTGAAATATTTGTAATTTTCAACCAAGCATGGATAACTTCCAGTTCTTGACTCGAAAACAATAATAATGGTGATGACGAAGATGCCAACAACACTGTAAGAGCTGATACAGTACAGCAGTTAAGCCCGAGAGCCAGAAAACTTATGTTTAATTTACTTACAAGCTGTATGACCTTAGACAAGTTAGGCAACCTCTCTTTGCTTTTATTTAAAATCTGCAAAATAGGGGTAATTGTAACTATGTTACAAAGATGTTGTGGGAATTACTTGGGCGTGAAGAACTGCCTGATAGGTGGTAAGTGTTCAGTGAATGTTAGCTGTTATTAAAAGCTATTGAAGATGGGTCATATGATAATGTTACATGTTACAAAGGGACTGTGTTAGGTGATTTAAAGTCTTCTTTAGAAGTAGGGTTAAAAAAAGATTTGGATAATCTATTTTCTGAATGTTTCTTGTTCTCATTTGTCTTTGTACTGTGTCCATTAAATTTGGTACAGTTAATGGCAACCACCTTGCCCATAAAGCCAAAATATTCTCTAATCAGCTCTGCTATACCAATTTCGTGAGTATTCAGCTCCTCAGCCCGGAATACCAATTGTGTAAAAAGTGCAGTGAATTCCAATTTACTTTTGATTGCAACGATCTGAACCAAACACTAAACCTAGTTGATCCAAGATGATTTGGGCTTTACAATTTTGTGCATTATGTATGTGGTCTACACGTTTAAAACAGGAGTATCTTTGAATTTAACATATTCTTCTTTTCAGAAAACAGAATTCTTTTAATTAAAAACGTTTTTAAAAATTTCACTATGTGTAATTGTTAACACCTGCTATGTGTTACCAACAGATGTTTCTTACTTACCTAAGGGAACTGTTATAATTATTCTATAAGCTTCTTGGAATGGCTTTTACCAAGATAGTTGGGAAACTTTAGTTGGTGACTTTGTATGCAATATTTGGCATTTCTTTTCATCTCTTCCCCTATTGCTGTCAATCTCCACACACCCTCCCCCAAGCTGGACCTTCCAAAAGCAAAAATGTCCTTTTGGGGTACCAAAACTTTTATACGACTGGCTATGCATATTTTAGTCTTTGTTAAAAGTTACCAAAATTATGTGTATTCTAAAGCACCGTAAATTTTACTTTTAAGTGTTTTGGTAGCTAATCTTTAATGTTCAGCATGGAAGTCTTTTAAATGTAAAAGTATACCTTTTAGATAGATAATGTCCTCCTAATAGCTTGGCTTCAAAAGAAGCTATAGTATAAATGAGAGTTGTCTTTATTTTTCTGACCATTTCTAAGGCCATAAGCAATACACTTCCTGAATTCGTCATTTATGATACTAATCACACAATTACCCACAGGCATGTGTTAAATATGACACTGGTTTCAGCCAAATAATGGGCCAATTGCAAACAATGAACAGAGGCAGCTCCATTTATAACTGCAGTTTCAACAGAGCTCTATTGTAATCACAGTGATCTGAGGGTGACTCATTAATTAATTGATGTTCTTTTTTATTATGTGCTATTGAGTTAATGAGTAATTTGTGTGAGATAATTCTCTGAACACATTGATTACTTGAGATATTTTCTGGGTCCTTCATACCAATGACATGCTGAATAGGTAGAAGATGGTGTTCGCTTTTCTGTGCTCATTATTCATAGGTTTGAGATGAGCCCAAACCAGCGCAGAGATGCACTAGATGTTCTGACGTCTGGAGGACCCCAAGTCAGCCCAATAAGAAGCTCCCTGAATGCTCAGGGGCAAGGCCTGTCACATGGTAGGTACTCAATAAATGTCGATTAAAATAATGCCTATATTAACATTTTGCTCTCGATTGCCTTAACTTGCATTAAAATCACATTTAAGGAATATCTGTAATGGTGTATTTAAGAAACAGTAGTAATCAAAAGGCTTTTGCTAAAATTGTATTCTGCGCTAATGGCCTATTACAACGAACATGCAGTTTGTTTTTGCAACTTGCTGAGGTGAACGCTAAACATGTTTGGCCTGTACCATTTCTAGGAAATTGTTTAAGTGTCTATGGTGAGAGGAGCTTGCTTTAAGTGATAGTTAAAAGGAAACTACTTGTACATGGTATGTTTTACCACAGATATAATTTTCAGCGCCCCCCCCATTTCATTGCAGGCACAACATCTCTTCCCTGAAAATGTAGGATTTAGTTGTGTTTTGTTTTGTTTTAATTCATCATAAAGAAAATAGAAAATTTGAAATTGAGTCTGACGACAGCAACAGAGTTGTTTTCAGGCAGATCACTGGAAATTTGTGTAAATGTACAAAATTACACCCAGCGATTGTTACCTTCATTTTTGACAGTTTTATTTTCCCCACAGAAGTAAATAACAATAAACTACCTAGCTCGAAGATCTTAAATATAACATTTGGAGAAAGCATTTGAGGTACTTTGTCTATGCTTGTTATGATTTACCTTTTGAAAGTAAGTGTCCTTTCACACTTTATTCTTTTTTTTCAAGTGGACTGACTCAACGCTTTCTAGACATTATCTTAGATTTTGCCAATTAAGCGCAATCAAAGAGTATAATACCCCTTTTATTAAAAACATAAATCCAAATATAAAAAAAATGAATGAAAGAATCCAGCAGATATTTATTAAGCAAGATGAAAGTGAAATTACAAACACAGGTCAGCTTTTAAACTCAGCCAGCACTCTGGGGGAGTGGAGGTGCCCTGTCCTTCATCATAGGCAGCCTCTCTGAGATGCATGTTAGGAAGGGAGGTTTCACGGCTTGAGAAATCAAAGCTCTTTTGGAGGTGTCCTACTGGAGACATCAGGGCAACAAGCTAAGTGACGTCAGGGCTACACAACACAAAGAGGAAAGGTGACGACAATTCAGGGACTTTGCGTAGTCAAGACAATTAGCTTAGTACTTCAGGTCAAAAATGCTACTGTTTATGGGCAATTAGCTATAAAATGACCCATTTCTGTCTGGTTTCACAATTTCATGGAGATTAGAGATAATCTAAAGAGATTAAGGCCTTAATCTTTAATCCAGGTGAGTAATTTTGCTTGTAGTAAAAAGCGTAAGCATTAATTCCCGAAGGATTTGGGAAGAGAAAAGGCGATAAAAACTTGTTTGGTCTTTGGGTGGCAAGGATAATTGAACAGCTTCCAGGAGCTACGTGAAGTTGGTTCCCAATTTACAAGTATTTTGACATATTGATAAACATAGGCAAAACCATTTAAATCTAAAAATGATCATTTGAAAAAGATACTGGCAATTACAATTTGACATCCACATGAATTTCAGACACCCCTTAATGGGGACTCACAGGGCTGCTTGAGAAAAACCACTTTTCACAGATGCCCGCATCCCACCACCTTTTGTTTGGCTTGGGTTTTGGTTTTGGCTATGCAAGTCTTACCATGAAACAAATGTAAGGCCCCAAGGCTAAAATAATAGTTATTTCGTGGGCCCCAAATAGCTATTTTTGAAAAAATTTTTTTCGATATATCTCAAATCTGGGGGACATGTGACTTGAACACTCTTAACCATGAAGTATTTGTAAAAATACATATCATTCACTTTTCACAGAACCATTTCTTAAAAATGAGAGGCAATAGCCAGATTCACATGCATGTTCATAATAAAGCTTTGTTTTAAAACAAAAATCCACACCAGCATTACTTTCAGTTTAATATTTGGTCCCAAACCAAGAATTCAGGTATCATATTTCATTTTCATCTGCAATGCATCTATTGGCAGGACAAAATATGTATGCAAAAAACACCGGGAAATATTGTTTCCTATACAAGTGATCAAAAGGAAAAAGAAAAAAAAAAAGAAAAAAAAAAAGAAAACCCACAGCACTAAATTTGCTCTAGCAAAAATATGCTTCACTGTGCCTGTGTCAAATTAGATTTGTTGAAAAGTAGTTCTATTGCAGGGAGCAGAAGCAAAGAAGCAAAGTGTGAGCAACCTAGAAGAAGGGATCATAGTCTTATTTTTATTTCCTTAATTGTAATAATTGGTCTCCGTAATTTGTTTCTAGAAAGCTTTCTTCTTTATCATCTATCATGTTAGTAAGGGAATATTTTTTCACCTTTATAAAATGGAATGACAGATTTCAGCCTTAAGTGTGATATAATCTGAGCAGGTTAACTACTTAAAGAAAGCAGTAAGACATGTCAAACTTTTCAAGTCTTCACTTTTGAACATTAAAATAAGTGTCAGGTAAATACAGAAAAATATATAATCACCAGTTCTCAGCTCTTTGACAATCCCTTTGTTTCTCTTCTTCTAGAAGATTCTGTGAGCACTATGTTGCTCTGATCAAAAAAGTAAGCTCACTACTCAAATATCATCACAGCTTCATTGTGTATTATCATGGTTTCAGTAGATTTGCGCTCAAATCCTTCCAGTGCCAGAAATTTATCAAGCCATAAAGTTATTAAACCCTTAGATCTTAGGGAGAAATCTGGGCAAAATTTTACAAGAAATTTATCGTTTTAAAATTACCTCATAATTGTGGTAACACTTGTCTCAAGTAACCCTTTGGAAAAATTTTACATGATACCCAAAGGCACTAGTTTACATAAGGGGTAAGTGGCTAAAAAAACAAAAAACAAAAAATCAAAAAAAAAAAAAAAACAAAAAAAAACCAAACAAACCCAAAGCCATTGTGTAGGTAAAGAACACAGACACACACACACAAAAAGGACATCAAAAGGATAACTGCTAAGCTTTAAAGTTATTCTAAAAATGGCACTTTTCATGTTGGTATAAAATGAAAGTGCTTTAAGATGAAATTCTTATGCATTTTTTAAAGCTGATCTTTAACCCCCTGAAAATCGGGGGTTATAATGACAACACTGATAGACTCTAAATCATCATGGTAATGATAGTGGAATAGTGGATGTTGCTAAAATGCCTTGTGTGTGTCTTCATTTCTTCTTTTTTTTTTTTTAAGTATTTTAATGTTGATAGACTTGCTTTATATGTGTATCATCAGTGAAATTTGCTCTTCAATCCTTTACTAGAAAGTTACAGCTCATTTAAAATAGCTGGTAGATACAGAAAGCATGAATATACAGTAAGTTTAAACACTGATTGTACTGAATGCAACCATACAAAGAAGCAAACAGAACACAAATGGTAACACAATAAAACTGTATTACATTTGTGCTTCAAATATTACAATACATTATATACAATAGTCGAAAATAAACATCTCATGCCAAGTGACACAAAAACGAATAGCAAGCAAAAAAATCCAGCAATATGTACAGTACTTTTTTCTTTAATAATAAACATTCAACTCTGAACTGGGGCAATTTCACTACATACAGGTGCAGTCCGCCTTTTATTCCATATAACCATCCTGCTTTCCTATATCTACGCTATTCAGTAGGTTCCTGTGTCAATTCTTATATACATGTGGAGCAAAAAAGATAAAAGAATGTAGTGCTTTGTATTCTTAATGGGGTGATGTTGATAGATCAGCGAACCTGGGGTGCATAACCTTCTTTCATTAAACCTTCTTCGTAGTCCGTCTGGCAAAGGATCATGTTATTCTTTAGGAAAAATTTGTCTCCAACACAAAATCTGAAAACATTAAAAAAATAAAATGTGTTAATTTTCATTTCACTCCCATCTATAGATTTGAGGATTTCTTTTCCTTGTAATAATGTCACATGGTAATTCCCTGAATTTGAAAGCTTGGTTTAGAAAGTTGTCTTCGTTGTTGAAGTTAAACTATGTAGATCATTTAATGAAACGCTGCACACAAAATTTGATATCCTACAGTTATATATAAAAAGCACAGGAAAACCGAGGAAAACACCTTGGGCAGCAGAAGTGATTTTTATCACCACTTTGGAAAGAAAAAAAAAAAATGATTTATATTTACAGACATTAAAATAAATGAAAGAATGATAATAGTATTTCACTGCAGTGATTATGGAAGATTTCACCAGTGGCCATTTATTCACTTTATTAAAAAAAAAGTAAAAGGCATTAAAATGTATCAAATAATTAGAAAGTGGCCCATTTTAAAGCTTCCCATTTAAAGTTCCTTTTGCTCTCTTTTATTAAAATGTGATTAAATTCTGGTATTCTGGAAGTGATTGTTTTGAAGGAAAAGTTGTTTTAGCATCAGACTCTGATGCTGGGCCATAATCTTTTATTTGTGGCAAGTTCACCAACTATGAAATATTAAATGTCATTTCTTAGCCCACTCCCAATTAAACCAAAGGGAGTAACCTGAATGAACTTCTTAATATTGATGTGATAAATAAACTAGTTTCCAGTAGCTAATTATGTATTTTATTTTATAAAGCACTGTTTAATGTACAAGATTGTAATGTTTTTAATAAGTGCCCTTTTGTATAATTTCCCAGCAGTGACACTTTGGACACAATTAAGGTCAGAAATAAATGCTTGTGCTGTTTCCAGTACATTTAACAATAAAGTAACTCTGGGGAGATCTGTATATATTTTTAATTGTAACAATTTAACCTTCAAACAGCAGTGTCTCGTAGAGTTGACCCAGTAAAACTACTTGTAATTATACAAGTTGACCTCACTGACCTTTGATAGTGGTCTCTCTTTATCAGATAGTCAATTTCGAATGATGTTCAAGCAGAAATCTTAGTGGATAGATTAAATTGTGTAGTGAAAGCAACCCTTTAATGTTTTGTGAAGTTGAAGGTTTAAATGAGGAGCAGTTGGACTGATTTACATTTGCAAAGATTGGAATGCTAGACAAACAGTAAACCTATTTATTTTCCAACTGGGTAGCTTTGGAAATTTATCCTTATTCTAGTTAAGTAGATAGAGGGGAAAATAGTGTAATAAAAAAAGTAGATTGAAAAGAATTAGCTTTCCTCTTAAAGGAAGATTGGTCTGTTTATTTGTGGAATTTACTTTTTTTTCCCAGGATTACTGCCTGCTGATGATGTTGATTGAAAGTACAGACTAAGCACGGATCTTGAAATCCTGGAGTTTGCGGTCAAGGCTATTGGATAGAATGAACATTCAAGTTTGAACCTTAAGTATATCTTCTTTTTATTAGTTGAAAACTACAAACTTTAAATATTGTGCTTAAAAGTGGCATGAGAGTAAACGAGGTTTTGTACATTATCCTGATCATTAGGATACGTTGAATAAAAGGAACTATTTCTTCTGTTGGGCAGACCCAAGTAGTCAAATTAGATACTTATCTTTCATGTGAGATTACATAAAATAGCATGTAGGATATATCTGATTACTGCTCAAAACTTTCAATTCATATTACTGTTGAAATTAATTTGAATAAGCTAATGACAGAATAGCACATCAAAATAAATAAATTCAACAAATACTCCTGTGTTCTAGCTAATATCACTGAATTTGTTTTTTTCCTAAAAACCAACTGAATTGGAAATACTCTTTCAACTCTATATTGACTAAAACCTTGCTTCAATTTTCTAACAAGCCCCCAAATTCTATTCACTATCAAAAAAAAATTTTTTTTTTAAATATGCTCTACTTAGGGCATGAACTCAGGACCCAAAGGTAGTCACATGCTCTACCAACTGAGCCAGCCAGCCACCCCCCAAAAAATATTTTTTGTTTTTGTCATGTGAAGTTATGTCATTCTTACCTTCAGAAGCCTTGAAATTTAGGTAATTTTTGTTTGTGGATTAATAAATTCGGGGTAATGATCATGAGAAAAGCATTGAACCAAAAGCCTGGAGACCTAGTCCTGAGACCTGATGCTACCCAATGCAAGTTATAGGGTCCATTTCATACTCTCTGAGTCAACTCTGTGTGGTTATGATAAAAGAGCTGCATCACTGCATTGTAGGGATGTTAAAATAAGAAATATATGAGCAGTAGAGAGGTATATTGCAACGAAAAGAGTTCAAATCCCAACCTTCCACTTATGATATTGAAGATGAAACTATTTTCTCTTATCTTTAATATGACTATTTAAAGTGTGTGTTAAGAATAGAATGAAGTAGGCTAAGCATTAACTCAGTGTTTGGAGTGTAGATAATTAAAATAGCCACCTTCTATAAAGTACTTACTATGTGCTAATGCTAAGTATGTATATGCACGATTATTTCTATTTATGTTCAACCGAGAAAGTAATTATTGCCTTTTTCAAATGAAAAACCTAAAGGCTTCCTCCCAGAATTTTAAAACACCTGCCGTGCCCCATAGCTAGAATGTGTATGTTGGAGGAAGGAAACCGACTCTGGTCTCTTTGGGCTCAAGACCCATGCTTTACCTGGAAACAGTAAAACATAAGGCTTTGAAGTTAATACGGGTTTTTTGTATCGCTATTATTCCTTTGCATAACATTAAAAAAAAGTCTACCTAGCATTCAATGAGATGTTGGTGATATAAATGGAATTCATTTAAAATAGTCCTACCTAAAATATTTTGTTGCTAATGTTGTCAACTGGACAAAGTACCTTTTATGTGCATTTCAGTTTATGCTGAAAAGTCAAGACAAAACAGAACGTGGGTGAGAAATGTCACACTTACACATATAACTTAAAACAGCTTTGAAAGCTATGGCTAAAGCAGATTATAATTGCTTTGTGATTAGGATTGGTATACTCCTTCTTAAAAAAAAGATTGATTGATTGACCGATTTGAAAGAGAGAGAGAGAAAGATAATGTTGGTGGGGGGCAGAGGAAAAGGGAGAGAGAAACCCGAGAAGACTCTGTCCTAAGCACAGAACCCAGTGCGGGGCTCGATCTCATGTCCCTGAGATCAGGACCTGAGCCGAAACCGAGTTGGACACTTCACTCACTGCACCATCCAGGTGACCCTGGATTGGTATACGCCTTTAAAATGTTCCATATATAAACATGAAGAAATTAGAGAAACAGCAATGCAGATGTTAGATGTTTAACAAAATAGTCTATAACTGATTTTGTGAGAAAGGCTAGTTTTCCTATGTTATGAGCTCCTTTTGAGATTTAGCACTGGCAGAAAAAATATTATAGAAGCAGTGATGGCCAGAGGATACTGTAAGTATATTAATAGGTCATGCTAAAATTCCTGAAAATAAGCTGATAATCTTCCTTGTAATCTAATCCTAATTGCTTGTGGTATAGTCAGTTCAATTAATTTTGCCTTCATTACAAAAAAAAAAAGTATATTAAGGAATAAAAAGATGCTCAATCAGATTACTTAGTCATTTAATCTTGATGTTTTGGAGTTAATAATAATAGATTTAATTTCCAGATATTTTGGAGTGATTCTAATTGAACTCATATGCAGTCTTAGAGACTTGAGAAGTACAGAAAATAAATATAATTAATTAATCACCCTTATACGGGGCTTAGCGTAGTTTTAAGCAGTTATCAAAAGATTCTGCAAAGAAGCCTCCATTTGCAACCTTTTCACATCCTTTCTAAGAATGAAAACATTAATTTAGTCATCTTATTTCCCCAAGGGCAGTGGCTATCAATTATAATTAGTTCCCAACTCCACAGTACTTTAAAAAGGGTGGGGGGATCCAGTCCATATTTCAAATGTCTCTATCTTCTATGTAGCACCCTCCATTACTAAAGATGGAGACTTCAATGCTGTACTTTGTTTTCAGTAAGAAGTACTGATCATATACCCATTGTCACACCACTATACACCGTGAACGAATTTACTCTCTTCTCCCAAAGACTGTCCAGTTGTTATTACATACTTCATTCCTGATCACCTTTTCTACACCAACTTATAATACCCACATCCTGAATCCTGCTATAAATCGTTCAAAGTCTACCTTGCTTGAATTTCACCATATCTATTCCCATTTATAGTCATTCAGTCAGAAAATAAAATACCTCTCTTGAAGGAGTCCAGGGCCCTCATATCAGATCTGAGTCGAAAGACTAAAACCAGACTGTCTGGGTTCAGATTTTGAGTCTACCATTTTCTATCATTGTTTTCTAGGGCAAGTTACTTAAATTTTCTGTACTTCAGTTACTTCATCTATAAAATGAGGGCAATAATAGTATCTCATTTTACTGAGTATTAAATGAGCACATGTAAAGCAGAACAGTGTCTAGTGTATGATCAGCGCTATAGAAGAATTCTGCTATCATTATTTGTTAATGACAATTTTTTTTTCACCTCTGCTTAAGCCATTCCCTAACCATGACTATTTCTTGCTGTTTTTTCATCTGTTTAAATTCTTTTAAAAAATTATTTAGTTTCCATTCCCTCCATCAATACATTCCCTGGCCATGCCAACTCATTCTGATCTTTCCCAAGGCACTTATTTATTGGCATATCATTTACTTTGGCATTTCAGATTTCCTCCTGAATGGGTAACAAGTTTCCCAATCTGGGCTGCAGTGCTGGGGTAAGGGCCCATGAGTTATAGTTCTTTTGAACCCTCTGAAATACCACCATAAATTACACGACCACTTGAGGTGGGTGGTCAGTAAATACAGATTAAGACAGATTTATCCCAGAACCAAATAGCTTTAAATAACAAAGGTATTTTTAGATAGATAACTTAAATTCCTGTTCATTTTGACTCATTCGTTGACTTCCTACCTTTAAATTTCACCTCCTCCTGATCCTCATGCCATTCCCTCCTTCTCCATATCCCGACCAAACTCCCTCTCTAATCTCTGAGCATTCTGAGTTCTTTTCATTTCCTGCACACATTAAATGCTTTCACACTTCCATGCCTTGCATGATGCTTCCGTCTGTCTGGAAAACCCTTTCCTCACTGCTTCTTGGCTTCCTCGTTCTCCCAACCCCCACCAGACACAATCCCTACATTCCAACCAGTCCTAGGGAGTTCTGTTTTAAAACCCAGCACATCAACCCTTTGATGCTTCTCTAAGACTTCAAGAAGGACAGACCTCTCTTTCCTCAGTATAGATCTGTTTAGCATCGATTACACTCTTCTGTGAGTCTTTGATGTCCTGTCTCTCCCATAGCTCTGAATAAGAGAGAAAATGGTTTTTCTTCACCTTTCTTTCCAGAGCCTAGCATAGCACTTTTATTCTTTAGTGTTACACAATTCTACGTCTTTGAGGCAATTTCATTACAAACAAACATGCTCTTTCCTTTTCTTGTAAAACCGTCATTTAGTTTTACAGAACTGTCTAAGGAGGAGGGGCTTGGTCACCTTTAAGAAATTAACCTATTACATAGAATTCGTCAATTCTGAGTGAGATTCAGTTGTCATCTAAGATGCTCAAAATAACATTCCTCTGCTTCTGTTAATAAAGAAAAAGAAAAAAAAACACCTTAGATGTTTAATTCAGGATTCACATCTTTAGCCATACCCCCTCTCAAAAGAGCAAAGAGGGTATATACAAGAAACAACCAATCCTGAAAAGTTATTTTTACTACCATTTTGCAAATACTCAGAAATGCTTTTGATCTTAATGGTCTTTTGATTTAAAAGTTAAGATGAAATGACTGCTGAATAAAATTCATAAGCATTTATAATACCACAGTCTCAGATGCCAATAAAGTTTGCTTAAGGGAAAGTGCCTATAAATTACCTGTTTGCTTTGTGTTTCACTTGAAAAGGTGCAATGCTATAATAATAATTTGCCTACTGAAAGTATAGGCTCATGTGACATATGGCTTTATTGGAGAGGATTTCCCCAGCAAATGTCAAAGTAGAAAGAAAATCTCCTATGTTGAAAACCTTCTGTATTCAGAGTAACAAAATTTGTCTGCTTTGCTTGACTGATGAAGATTAGCTGACTTCTTGCATTAAAGAAGTTTGTCTTGTAGGGGCTGAAGTGACAAGACAATAACTAAGTGCTAATTGTGCATAACCATCACTAAAGATATGCAGTCCCATTATGGCATGTAATAAATGAAGCGAACACGGAAATATATTAGGTACTTTAATAATGATACTAGAATAGTATTTTGCAGCAATAAGAATGCGAACAGTTTTAGAGTCAAAATTTAGGAGCGTTTGTCTTACTTGACTGAGTTCTACTGAGGAGATAGACTTAATTGTGAATGCAACTTTTTATTTCAATGGTGAAATAAAATTGATATATGCTTTGTAAATAGCATTAACAACCTACAACTACTTTGCATCATAATAGAATTTAGGCTGGATTTAGCCCTTGAATGATGTTTTAATTTTCTGTGTAGAACATGGATAAAATAGGGGAGACTGCCCTACAGGAAAAATGGACATAGGGCATAAACAGGCCGTTCCCTAAAAGAAGAAATAGCAAAGGGCCACTAGAAATCAAATAAATACTAATTAAAAATTATAATGGGACACCATCTTTCATCCCTCAGGGTGACAAGGGTTTCTTTTTAAATAATAACTCCCAATGCTAGAGTGAATGGAAGGGAATACATAGCTTTTAAATTTCTGGTGTGAGAATAATTGGTATAACTATTGGGGAGAGCATTTTAACAATATATAACATAAACCTTTAAAAGGGTTATATACTTTGTCCAGTGCTCCTGTGAATTTATCCTGACACATACTTGAATATTGTTTGTTTGCAAATATTATGTTGATAATATTATGTCGATAATATTGGTAATATATCAAGTTGAAGAAATAGCTTATACATCTGACAAGAGAAGACTGATTTAACATATGAAACTCTACTCATAAAATAAAACACAAAAAGGCTTAAGGTATCTTAAAGAATTTGAAAAGCATGCTATCATAAATGAAAAAGTCCAAATATCAAACACTAGGATTCTTCCCTGTTCTTTTTCTTTAAGCTGCTCAAATGTATCATAAAATATATGCTATATAACACCCATCATATATGCACAAGAAAACATATGGCCAGCTATACACCAAAATATTAAAATGCCTTCTTTTAGAATAGTAAGACATGGGGCAATGTGATTCTTTAACCCTTTTTATTTTCCAAAATTTCTACTATGAATATGTAACCTTTCATAAAGTAGAAAAGAAGTTAAGTGTTACTGTTGCATGAAGATAACTGTATTTGAATGGATGCTGTTAGTGGATCAATAGGGCAAGTAAACAGAAGTATACTAATGCACCTTTAAAATATATACACATACATGTATACGTGCATATAAATGTCTGTATAAATGTGTAGATATTTATATTATATTATTATATTATATTATATTATATTATATTATATGTGCCTATATCTTTACACACATACTTGTCAATTTATTTTTGCCTAAAGGTCACCATGGACTGAATTAATCGGCTTTGATTCCAAAAGTTTGTGCAGACTTAAAGTGCCTATAAAATGACTTTTTGAATTATTTCCTGGATAAATTAGATATTCAGGTATACTGGTATAGGTGTACTGGCAAGGTATGCTGGGCACTACTCTGAACATCTCCATTTAGCAGGAAGTATCATTGAGATATATCTTTTTTTTTTTTTTTGAGATACATATCTTGTATATAAACCAAGTTAGTGGAATATGATTTGGTAAAAGTAAATTGTAAATATCAAGATAAAAGAGCCTATTTTTTAGGACCAATTGTGCTCCTGGTATTTAATATAAATTATTTCATTTAATTTTCAAAATCTGTAAGATAGGTGTTAGTGTCTTCATTGTCAGGGGGTGGAAACAAATCTCAGAGATGAAGTAACAGACTTAGGATGTTGTATCTAATATACAATGGGGCTGGAATTTGAATCCATTTCTTCCTGTAAAAATCATATCCTCTGTGCTGTTCTACACAGGGCCTCATAAAAAGACGCTGCATTGAATAGTAAAGCAGTGCAAATCACAGTAACTGAGAACGTGATATAATAAATGTGGCCTGATTATATAGTATGTCCAGGTGTTGTCACTCTCACCTTGAATATATTTTCATTAATATCCATCAAGTGTAGTAAATTTTTAAATGTATTTTAATGATAGATACAGTTTCATATTCTAATATCCTCTGCATATATCATATAAAACAGGTATCAGTAGTGTATGGGTCCCACTGGAAATAAAAGTTACAACTTTCAGAGGGAAAAATGGAATAAAGTGATAATACTTTTAGGTGAAAGAGTTCTCTGAGACTGGCTAATCCAGCTCCTTTTTGTTGTAAATGAGAAAACCAAGATCCAGAGAGCTAAAATGCTTGATGGATGGTTATACATCTTGTGAGGGGCAAAGCCCAGCCTAGAATTTAGGTTTCTAGATTCCTTGTGCAATACTCTTCCCCTTCCATAGCTGCCCATCCAATGCTGATAAGTGTTAAATTATTAGCTATATTTGGCCTCATTCCCAAGGAAACTTAAAGCAACTTAAAAAGTACATATAAAACAAGGTTAAAATTCAAGATGAGAAATCAAGAGACAGGGCAACCAAAAATAGGAAAACTAAGATAAGACACACTACCTCCTACAAATTCCTGTATATTTGCCTCAGGGCAAATGTGTTGGGTCACAGAACAAAAAAGTGAAGATTTTAAGCCTACTTTTAAAAAGAATATTTTCAAGATACTTTTAAAGTTTTAAAGTAAATTTTAGGGATATTCTAAACCTACTTTTTAAAATGACAGAAAAATAATAAAGAATGAATAAGAAGAAAACTAAAATAGCAGTGTCTTCACTGCTTCTCAGATTCTGCTATAGGTTGCTCTTTCTGCGGGTAGAAGCACAGTTTTAAGACCTTTCCCCCTCAGTGCTTTCTTCCTGGCACCCGATGAACGTTTGCAGAAAACAAAATGCTGAGATTAATAGCCTTAAGTAATATATATAATTCCCATCTATTAAGTAAATAACTAGCAACTACAGGTTTGCGACTTTTTAGAGACGGGAATGAAACCTGCTTACCTCTGATTACAAAGCTGACATGCAAAGCAGTCCAGGTGGTAAACGTTGTCCTTGGCCCGCATCACCATCTCAAAGGCAGGGATGAGCTTACTACAGGCGGCGCAGTTCCCCGTTACACCAAAGAGCCTGGAACAATAAACATTTTTCTCAAACTCTTACAGAGAGATCTGAGATGATGACTAGAGAAGGTGCCAGCACACCCTGCAAAGCTATCAACAGGCAATGCCTTATGATGTACACAAGCACGTTTTATCCTCGGCAGATACATAAGTATTCCTCTCTGATACATACTCCGTTGACCTTTCTTGATGAAAATCACATCTCGTTTGAGAAGGAAAGGAAAAGACAAATACATCAGGAAGCTTACATAACCACACACGAACAAGTCAATGGAGGTGAATTCGTAGCAAAAAAACCTACTTGATAGAATATGCAGTAAATAGAAATGCAACGTAACTTTGATCTCACTGACACGTGGTAGCCGTTTTCGTTGGAGAAGAAACCCATGTGAAGGACTCACTGTTTTCTGACATCTAGTTACTAGGAGGTTTGCCATTATTATTAAAAGAACATTTATGTACAAGCCATTTAAATAGTCAAAAAACATCAGAGGTGCGTGCACCTTATGGCCCTATACCATAGTTATAGCTCTGATTATGTCATTCAAGTAGCACATTAAAGTAAATGAGGCTGTAAACTACACAGAGCTGGACCAGGAGTTGAAACATAATATATTGAAAGAACCAGTGGAACTGTCCGGGGAAAAGGTATTTTTAAAAAATCCTATTTGCGATAGATTCCTGAAAATAGTTATTGTAATGACCTAAAAAAAATAGTACAAATTAAAGTGTCTCTATAGTTTCATAATGGGAGGAAATAAAATATTTTATCCATTTGCACTGGCAATATTTAAACCAAGTTTCTTTAAAGTTCTTAATGGTGGTGAAGAGTTATTATAAATAATATTCCATGCATAGCAGTTAATGCACTTTTTAACTAGGAAGCAAACTAGATGAAAAACACCACATCTGCCAGTTTTCTTTTTTCTCCAGCATCAGGCTGACAGGAGAAAAATATAATGGCTCTCATGGGAAAGACCAAATTAAAAGCAGTTCTAAACTAATGAATTCAAAGGTGCTAGGGAGAAAACTCATTTTATTTATAAAAGTGTACTTTAGAAAACTTAGTCTTTCATTTTATTGAATTTAAGGATTACGCACAAATGTGCTGAAGTTTCTCTTCTTGTAGTTTCCAAATACTCCAAAGACAGGTCTTTGCTTAAGGCATGCATATTCATTCTCAAGTTTATAACCATTTCTTCTTACCAGGCTAATGACAATTGGAAAGAGCTGTGAGAATGGTTTTCAGGATCTGGCAAAACATGTAATAAATGTTCATGCTTATGTTTTTCTTAGATTGTCTCTTGAAGAACATAAGCGCCTTGAGGGGAGAAGATGTAAACGCTTTGCAAACAGCTTGCCTGTATAATCCGTGCCCTTGATAAGAGGGGAAAGAAGGTTTATATTCAAGAAGACTAAATTCAGGATTGTTAGACACTGTTTTCCTGCAAGAACTAAAAAAAAAATAAATAAAAAATAAAAATTCTAATAAGGGGTCTAACCCTAATCACTTTTGTGTTCCTGGTGTACAATCCCTATTTCAGGAAATGATTTTTCTCTAAAAACAACTTCATTGAAAACAGTATCTCACACACATCTCCTACTGGCGTCACTGCAAACGAAACCACCCCGAGGTAAAGCTTTCGTCCTGTTCTTCTGTAAGCAGAAATTTCCCGTCCCTCCTAACATTTCACATTCACTTTTCAGGGCACTTCATGTGACTCACTCGAGTCACGACCCTGATGCGTGCCATTTGTTCCCTCCGTTCTTTCATTATTATTATTATTATTTTTTGGAGACATAAGGAAGTCTTAAAAAGTTCTTTATTCTTCGAATATAGACGCACTTGTGGGTAGAAAACGTGGCCGGTAGGCGAGAACGCGGTTTGCGAGAACTACTCCCTCTGCTTACACCTCATAAACATACCCACACAATGCCATTTTGAAATTCTGGACATAGTTTCCCCCAATTTCAATTGCTCTCGCTAGCTGAGCATTTATCAGCTACCTGATTAGAATTTGTTTCCACACAAACCATTGATCATCAGCCTATTACTAGGCAAATGACAGTTAATTACCCACTACATTAACCACTGGGACCTGAGACCTGCTTCTGCTGCCATCAGTCAACATGATAAATGTGGCAAGTTCAGTAATGCATGGCCAGCCCCGAGCTGCCTGCTATACTGCGAACAACCCTCAATCTCACTTCCAGGCCCAGGAAAATCTATGGCAATCTGCATAATTACAAGCTCTGGGTTAATAACAGACAAATGATTTGTTGCATCTAAACAAAGTCCTTGGAATGGTCCTGGTCTCTGGTGGCTGGCCGTCCGGCGTGCCGCCTCCAGTGTACTTTCCAGTGCGATGTGCACAAAACCGTTCTCTGACGCTACAGCCTTCCAATTTGTTGCCCTCCAATTTATGGATTCTGCATATGTGATTTTTAATCATTAAAGGACTCTTGAAGCAATATTATCTTAATTATTCTCTGCTGTAACCAGGGAATTAGGCTTCAGATAAAATTTTCTTCTTCCACGCACTCTCCCTGCCTCACTGGAGGCCCCATCAGTTTCCATCTACACCTGGACTCTGAAATCCTAATGATGAATTATTGCCCCTTTTCCTAAGAGGGCGAACCTTACAAGGGAACATTTTACTGAACTGTCAGCTCACAGACTGAGTGCGGAGATGCGGAAATCTGATCTAATTTACTGCAAAACGATGCATTTGTTAGACTTTTCCCTCAGTTTTGTCCAAGGATCAAGAGATCATTCTATAGCCACATTCGTGTTCTTTTTTTGCAGCTAGACGAACCCAAGATTCTCTGAGAAAGGAAACGAAGTCCTATTTTACAAAATCGGGTTTTTTTTCAAAGCCTATAATGTTATCCTTTGGTTTTCAAACATGACATTTGGATTCTCAGGCAAAAATAATTGCCATATAATGTATCAATTAAGCTTAAGGCATGCATAGTCCTCATTTGTAAGACTTTTTTTTTTTTTCAGATACATCTAGGATATATTCAAGAAGAGTCTCTTAATTATCTAATTCATTTAGACTATTCATAATCCTGGAAATTCTTGTAACCCCTTCCTTTCCACTCCTCACTCCCAGATTCATTTACAGGGATGTTAACACGGATCCACTTTTCTATTTAAGTGAGAGACCTCTGTAATCTCTTGTTTCCAGTGCTTACAAGATCTCATCCTAACAGAAGAGGAGGGCCTAAGTGTACTTAGCAAATAGTACACTGAGACAGACAAAGCTTTATTTTCAAAAGGAGTAATTTTGAAACTCTGACCTAGATTCAAAATAGAGTATCAGCTCATAAATTTATGGTAAGGAAAACATAATTGATCCATTTTGCTCAGCTTAAAACATCTTACAGATTATTAAAGCATGGCAGGCATTAATTTGCCAATTTATGGGCTAGATTTTTCTCTACCATTTATGCTCATAATAGGCTTTAAGCAATGTGACTTTTGTCTTGTTTCTGACACACTACCCAAAGTGGACTTATGAGATACAAGGTGGCAACTACCATCTATACAATATCAATGCAAGTAACTATCTGTAGGAATCCCAAAGGGTGTTCCTGTCCTCTTTCCATTCTGTTTCCCTTTTACTACCTGGTACTGACAATCTAAACACAGACACGAAGGTAAAAAACAAAACAAACAACAACAACAACAACAACAACAACAACAAAAAAAAAAGCCCAAAAAACCAACAGACAACCTATGGGTAAGAACTTGGTCTATCTGTATGCTATATAACACTCCACACACTGCGGTGCGCATCCAGAGAACTAGTGTTTTTTGGGTGTATGGGTGGCAAAGCAAGAACTGAGACTAAACACATATTTTTTTAAAGGTACTCAGAAAATTTTGCATTTTTAGTAAATGTTCAACAGCTTTTGCAACATAGTCATAAATCAGGTGAATTCTGTATAGGTTAGTATATATCCATTATTAAAGTTCCTGGAAGTGGGGGTTGAGAAAAATTCAAGACATATAATCATTTAACATAGCAATAATGAATATGGTTTACTACAGGCATCTGGAGGAAAATGAGTGTTCATTGTATTAGTGTCTTTTATTTCACAGCACCAGATGTTTGTATAGATTTTTTACCAGGTCAGTGGCTCAAGTCACTAAATCAAATTCCCCCAAGCCATGGAAAGCATAGTATTTGACTCAAATTAATTTATTATTTGGGGGGAAATGCATAAATAAATATCACTGCAGTAAACCTTAATTCTGAGCAAAGATCAAGTGTTCTCCTCTTGTATTCAGGCAACCCTCATTTAGCAACTTGAATATACAGTAAATTCAACAGTAATTTTTTTTCAATATTGCAGAGAAGACTTAGTTATCATCCTATGTGTAAAAAATAAAAGAACACCTCTCTATGGAGAATAACTAGAGATGAACAGAGAAAGAAAAGTTTAGTTTTCTAAGAATATGAGGTTGTAATCAAAGGAAAAGATCTTTAACTTTACTGCTGGATGGTGAAGTTTTATTGAACATGTTATGTGAGAAGGAATAGAACATTTTCACAGATCGAGAAGGGCAATTGCTTTTTTTGTCTATTACAAATACACTTCTCATCTCCTTTCCTATTTCACTTTTTAAACTAAGGAATGTAGTGATAGAAAATGAAAACACTTTAAACTTTCAATTCTTTTGTTTTAAATGTAAAAAGCTCACCCATTACAAGGGTGAAGAGAGTTGAACCTATTGTTTTCTCCCCTGTTGGGTCTTAGCATGTGCTCCACTGTCACAGAGATAAAGAAATTGTGGGAGTTCAAAGAGGGAAAAAAAGGCAACATTGAACATTTGTAAATGTACAAAGGAGAATATAAAAAAAGTTTAACATTAATATGAACCATGCTTCTAATTGTTACGGTTAGACTTAACATATATTTTTAGTATACATTGTGCAAAGAGATGAAGTTGAATTTTTCAAAAGTTAAGCTAAAAAAAGTTGGCCATGTTTTAAAGGC